CTCTGCAAACCGCTTAGAGAGGGCTGTAAAGCTCTGTGAAGTGGTATATAAGTCTAAGTGCTATTGCTGTTCCTTCCTTCCCTCCCTCCCTCCCTCCCTCCTTCGCTCCTGTGATGGCCCAGTGGTTAGAATGCACTATTGCAGGCTAATTCACTGCCCACTGCCAGCAGTTCGATCCTGACCGGCTCATGGTCGACTCAGCCTTCCATCCTTTCGAGGTGGGTAAAAGGAGGACCCAGATGGTTGGGGGCAAAGAGGCTGACTCTGTAAACCGCCTAAGGAGGGGCTGTAAAGCCCTAGGAAGCAGTAGACAAGTGGCATTGCTATTGCTATTTTAAATTATTTTAAATCATTAAATCGAATTGTTGAATTGTCCCTTGGCGAGATGTCTGGGGCAAGTTGTCCCGTTCTGCAACCAGGAGATTTAAGACATTCCTCTCCCCATTTGTCTAGCTTTGTTAAGCAGGCAGGCTGGATCTCTCTCTCTCCCCCCCCCCCAGTTCCTTTTTCTCCATCGGCAAGAAAAATAGCCCCAGCGGCCGCCCCATTAGACCCGTTCCCCGAGATTTATTTGAAAGCACTTTTGCGGCATATATAGCCAGAGCGGGTTTTTATGTTTATTCTGGGTGTCATTAGCAAAGCAGATTTAAAGCAAGCTGTGACTGGGAGCGATTGGTTCCCCCCCCCCCTTTCCCAATCTAAAAAAATGGCTCTATTAACAGATTCCGTGTGCGGCTTGCAAAACGATGCATTGGCCCAGGTTGTGTCAAGTCTTGGAGGGATCAGAAAGCATGGGTTCTTTCTTTCTTTCTTTCTTTCTTTCTTTCTTTCTTTCTTTCTTTCTTTCTTTCTTTCTTTCTTTCTTTCCTTCTTTCTTTCCTTTCTTTCCTTTCTTTCCTTTCTTTCCTTTCTTTCTTTTTCTTTCTTTCTTTCTCTCTCTTTCCTTCCTTCCTTCCTTCTTTCTTTCTTTCTCCCTCCCTCCCTCCCTCCCTCCCTCTCTCTCTCTCTCTCTCTCTCTTTCTTTCTTTCTTTCTTTCTTTCTTCTCTGGTTAACAGCCCGCATGTTCTACCAGCCTAGGAAAGATAAGGCCATCAAGAGGGCAGTTTATATTCAGTCAGTGTGGACAGTATCGGTTGGAGGGGTGATGGGTGACCATGTTCCTTTTGCTCAGCTTTGGAAAGTTGCAGGGCTGCCCCAAAGCAGAAAGGGGGCGATCAAAGTTGACACTAGACCAATAATCAGGTAAACATACCCCAGTCAGGGAACTACCCATTCAGACAAACAAGCTAGCGGTAAATAACAGCCTATTCGGGGGACCCATCAACATTTACAGGGCAAACTCTTTGTATATAATCAGCAACAAGCCCCACTCCCTTCTAGCACTGATGATGTTACCTAATTGGGCCGTGAAACGTCTGCAAGAAAATAACCAGGTTCAGAGGGCACCAAGGACCCCACAGTCCCCCTCCTCTTCCATGTCCACACCCCCCCTCCAGTCTCCTCCTCAGCATCTGAATTTTGGCCACATGATCCCGGGGGACGTTACAAAGGTCGTAACTCTGAAAAATGGTCCTAAGTCACTTATTGCAGGGCCCTTGTAACTTTATAAACATTCGCTGAATGAACGTGTTGTAAGTCAAGGACTTCCTGCATAGAATCTCCTGCTTGAGCAGGAGGTTGGACTAGAAGACCTCCAAGGTCCCTTCCCGCTCTATCTTGTATTCTGTAGGAGGATGTGTGGTGGTTATGTCCTGACATGACTGGAGATGTTCTTACATTAGGACGATACTGTGTGTGTGTGTGTGTGTGTGTGTGTGTGTGTGTTCGTTCGTTCTTGTGTATATTTTGGGACCTCTCCTTGTGCAACTGCATCTTGAATATCATAAAAGCAACCATTTAAAACAGTACTAGAAATATTTTCGTTCATTGTTTTATAACAGGGGTCTTCAAACCTGGCCCTTTTATGACTTGTGGACTTCAACTCCCAGAATTCCTCAGCCAGCCTCCATTTTGTTTGTTAGATTTAGGACAGAGTTCTTCAAACTGGCCCTTTTATGACTTGTGGACTTCAACTCCCAGAATTCCTCAGCCAGCCTCCATTTTGTTTGTTAGATTTAGGACAGAGTTCTTCAAACTTGGCCCTTTTATGACTTGTGGACTTCAACTCCCAGAATTCCTCAGCCAGCGTGCCTGGCTGAGGAATTCTGGGAGTTGAAGTCCACAAGTCATAAAAGGGCCAAGTTTGAAACCCCTGATTTATCATTTCCACTTATAAGGCCGCCCGCCGGTAGAGTCTGTGGGTAACTAACAAGGATGCAGACCCTAAAACAATTAAACTAGGATTCCCTTGGCATTTCAGAGGAGGGGGGGGAAACTCCACAATGCAGGTGGTCCTCGACTTACGACTGCTCTTGAGGCCAAAATTTCTGTTGCTAAACGAGACAGCAGTTAAGTTGAGTTTTGCCCCATTTTACGACCTTTCCTCCCTCCGTTGTTAAGTGACTCACTGCAGTGGTTAAGTTGGCAACAGGTTTGTTAATCTGGCTGGGTCAGAAGGTCACAAAAGGTGATCTCGTGATCCCGGGACACTGCGACCGTCGCAAATTCAAGCGTCTGAATTTGGATCACGAGACTACGTGACCACTGCAACGGCTGTAACTGTGAAAACTGGTCGTCAGTCACTTTTTTCCAAGTGCCGTTGTAACTTCGATCACGAAACAAACGGTTGTAAATTGAGAACTACCTGTAATTCCACAGCATTCAACCTAATGGTGGCCAAACTCCAGAAAAGAGTCTGGTGTCACCTTTTCTGATTTCCAGCTAATTTGTTTTGATTTCCATCCTTTTGGGTTTCGGCTGCTATGGACTCACACGGCTCTCCTGCTGCAGAAACTAATGGTAGGGGGTATTGTAAAGACCCCTGCTCTGGGCCCAGTGCAGAAAGTCCACCATTTAGCCCATTCTTGAAAAAAAAATCAGAGCTTAGGACTGTGTGGTAGTCTCGGTGGAGGTGTTATTTCCAGAGGCAGGCACAAAACAACTGATAGCAATAACAAATAGCACTTAGACTTATATACCGCTTCACAGTGCTTTTATGGCCCTCTCTAAGCGGTTGACAGAGTCAGACTATTTGCTCTCAACAATCTGGATCCTCATTTTACCGACCTTGTCAACCGTGAGCCGGTCAGAATCGAACTCCTGGCTGTGGGCGGTGAATTAGCCTGCAATGCTGCATTCTTAACTATTGCACCACCATGGCTCTAAGGAGAGGGAGGGAGGGGCGAAGGAAAGAGGCAAGGAAGAAGTGAGTGAGTGAGGAAGGAAGGATAGCAATAGTACTTAGACTTATATACCGCTTCACAGTGCTTTTACAGCCCTCTCTAAGCAGTTTACAGAGTCAGCGTATTGCCCCAAACAATCTGGGTCCTCATTTTGCCAATCTCAGAAAGATGGAAGGCTGAGTCAACCTGGAGCCGGTCAGCACTGAACTGCTGGCGGTGGGCAGAGTTAGCCTGCAATGCTGCATTCTAACCACTGCACCACCATGGCTAGAAGGAAGGAAGGAAGGAAGGGAGGGAGGGAGGGAGGGAGGGAGGGAGGAAGGAAGGAGGGAGGGAGGGAGGGAGGGAGAATGATGCAAGGAAGAAGAGAGGGAGGCGGGAGGGAGGCAGGAAAGAAAGATGCAAGGAAGAAGGAAGGAAGGAAGGAAGGAAATAGCACTTAGACTTATATACTGCTTCACAGTGCTTTTACAGCCCTCTCTAAGCAGTTCACAGAGTCAGCCTATTTGCCCTCAATAATCTGGGTCCTCCTTTTACCCACCTCAGAAGGATGGAAGGCTGAGTCAACCTTGAGCCAGTCAGGATTGAACTGCTGGCAGTAAGCAGAGTCAGTCTGCAACGTGCCATTCTAACCACTGCATCACCAGGGCTCTTCGTACCAATTGATAAACAAAACAACTGTTTATCCAGCTTCTTTGGGGAGGGGTGGAGAGAGAAGGGATCATTCACAACCAGGTAAAAGGTAGGTATACTAAGAAGAACCTTGTAGTCCCAGCTCCTGGAAGGGGAACCTTATAGGGACGGGGGCGGCAGGGCAGAGTAGAAGAGAGATGAGGGACTAAGCCAGGGGTAGGTAACCTTGGCTCTTTTCTGACTTGTGGACCAACTCCCAGAATTCCTCAGCCAGCGTGGGGGAACTATGGCCCCTTCATGACTCGTGGACTTCAACTCCCAGAATTCCTCAGCCAGCGTGGGGGAACTATGGCCCCCTTCATGACTCGCAGACTTCAGCTCCCAGAATTCCTCAGCCAGCATGGGGGAACTATGGCCCCTTCATGACTCGTGGACTTCAGCATGGCTGGCTCAGGAATTCTGGGAGTTGAAGTCCACCAGTCATAAAAGAGCCAAGGTTGCCTACCCCTGGTCTATGGGAAACACAATTCTGAGCATGTTTGATAGAAAAAAACTAAGTTCAACGAGGTTGTACCTTGATAAAAGTAAAAGGGAACTATGGCCCCCTCATGACTGGTGGACTTCAACTCCCAGAATTCCTGAGCCAGCATGGCTCAGCTTGGAAACCTCTCCCTTTCCCCTCAGCATGGCTGGCTCAGGAATTCTGGGAGTTGAAGTCCATGAGTCATAAAAGAGCCAAGTTTGCCTACCCCTGGACTAAGCAAAGGCTGGATATGAGCCAAATCTCTCCTGCTTCACATGGGGATGGGGGCATCCCAGCTGCCTTTCGATCCCTGGCCTGGTGGGGCTCCATCTCAGCCCCCCCCCCCGGAAAGCAACTTAGAAAACTTTGCCTTCCCTGCCCAGAAAAATGCTTTAAAAACCGCACGCGATTGTCTTTTTCTCTTATTCAGAGTTGAGCCTTTGGTTTGAAGTGCTTGTGTTGTTTTTTTCCTTTTGTGTGTATGTTTCCCTGGCCCCTCCCCTTCTTCCTCCTCCTCCCCCCCTTTGGCTTTCTCCCACCCCACCCCCCTCTGGCTTGCCAGGGCCTGGGAAGAGTTTCATGGCCTGGTGAACAGCAGCGGCCGCTGAAATGAGCGTCTTCCCTCCCTCCCTCACACGCCCAGGGTAGGGCATCATCTTTCTTTTTTAACCATTATGGGATGCACCTCTCAGCCAGGGTTCCTGCCCTCCCCCCCCCTCCTCCAGCACCATTCGCACTCAACCCCCACCCCGGGGGACTTTGAAGGCCTGCAGCCTTGAGATACTCCTGGCCGGCTGGTTCTTTGCCCTTAATCAATGTCTTTTTCCAAAAAAATAAAACTAAAAAAAAATCTTCCTAAGCCAGTGGTTCTCAACCTTTTTAATGCCGCGACCCCCAACCGGTCGTAAGTCGAGGACTACTCAACCGGTCGTAAATCGAGGACTACTCAACTGGGGCAGCACCGTTTGCAGAATGGGACTTTTGGCGGGCTCAGCAGGGCAGAGACAGCCTGGACAATTCCTGTTGGACTCTATTCAAGAGAGTCTATTCTATTGGTTTTCAAAAGCCAAATAGAATAAAAGGGAGTAGCACAGCTAAGGAAAAGGGGGGAAAAAATGGCGGACTGCGTTGTTTGGCGACCCCTGTGAAATGGTTGTTCGACCCCAAATGGGGTCCCGACCCACAGGTTGAGAACCACTGTCCTAAGCCATCTTGCCATATCAGAGCAGGGCATTTTAAGTGCGACCAAGCCAAATTGTTCCGCCTTTGAATTTCACGCTGCTCTGAACTAGCCGGGCATTTAAAAACAAAAAGAAAAAGAAGAACCCCAGCCATGTTATCCCATCCTTAACCAGATTGAAGATATTTACCCCTCGGCTTGGAAATTTGCAGGGAGTGCTCCTTAATGGGGATCTCATGGAAAAGGAGGGTTTTTGGGGGGGGGGCAGCCTAGGCTAAATTCTCGGGTGTCCAGGCCCCTAAAACACCTGAGCTTGCCTCCTTTGTTGCCCAGGCCCTTCCAAGGCTGACAGGTACATCCTTAGCTTGCTTGTGTGGTGTGGATGTGGGGCCATCGAGTGGGGAGGGAGGAAGGCCCCCCAGTCCAGCCAGCTGCCACCTCACTTGCCGACACAGCTGGAGGACGACCGGCAGTCCGGGCACAACCTGCCAGCCCCCAATTGCCTCTCTCAGCTTTTAAAAACGCGATAACACAACCTGGGAAGGACTTCCGGCAGATATGACCTCGTCCAGCATCTTCCGTCCAAATGTGGCCGGTTGGCTTGCTGCACAAGGCATCTCTGTAGAACTGAGGCTCAGGGTAAGAAGAGCAGTAGCAATAGACTTATAGACTGCTTTAGAGTGTTCTCTAAGCGGTGTACAGAGTCAGCCTCTTGCTCCCCCGACAATCGGGGCCCTCATTTGACCGACCTCGGAAGGGTGGAAGGCTGAGTCGCCCTTGGGCCGGTCAGGATCGAACTCCTAGCAGTGGGCAGAGTCAAACGGCAATGTGGCATTCTAACCACTGCACCACCATGGCTCAAAGAGGGAGGGAAGAAGAAACAGTGGCATGGTGGTTAGCACTGCTATCCTTCCTTCCTTCCTTCCTTCCTTCCTTCCTTCCTTCCTTCCTTCATCCCTCCCTCTCTTCTTCCTTGGATCTTTCTTGCCTGCCTGCCTGCTTCCCTCCCTTCCTTCCTTCCTCCCTCTCTTCTTCCTTGCATCTTTCTTTCCTTCCTGCCTGCCTTCCTCCCTTCTTCCTTCCTTCCTCCCTTCCTCCCTCCCTCCCTCCCTCCCTCCCTCTCTTCTTCCTTGCATCTTTCTTTCCTTCCTGCCTGCCTCCCTCCCTTCTTCCTTCCTTCCTTCCTTCCTTCCTCCCTCCCTCCCTCCCTCTCTTCTTCCTTGCATCTTTCTTGCCTGCCTGCCTGCCTCCCTCCCTTCTTCCTTCCTTCCTTCCTTCCTTCCTTCATCCCTCCCTCTCTTCTTCCTTGCATCTTTCTTGCCTGCCTGCCTGCTTCCCTCCCTTCTTCCTTCCTTCCTTCCTTCCTTCCTTCCTTCATCCCTCCCTCTCTTCTTCCTTGCATCTTTCTTGCCTGCCTGCCTGCCTGCTTCCCTCCCTTCCTCCTTCCTTCCTTCCTTCATCTCTCCCTCTTCTTCCTTGCATCTTTCTTTCCTTCCTGCCTGCCTCCCTCTCTTCTTCCTTGCATCTTTCTTTCCTTCATCCCTCCCTCTCTTCTTCCTTGCATCTTTCTTGCCTGCCTGCCTCCCTCCCTCCCTTCTTCCTTCCTTCCTTCCTTCCCTCTTCTTCCTTGCATCTTTCTTTCCTTCCTGCCTTCCCTCTCTTCTTCCTTGCATCTTTCTTGCCTGCCTGCCTGCTTCCCTCCCTTCTTCTTCCTTGCATCTTTCTTGCCTGCCTGCCTGCTTCCCTCCCTTCTTCCTTCCTTCCTTCCTTCATCTCTCCCTCTTCTTCCTTGCATCTTTCTTTCCTTTCTGCCTGCCTCCCTCTCTTCTTCCTTGCATCTTTCTTTCCTTCATCCCTCCCTCTCTTCTTCCTTGCATCTTTCTTGCCTGCCTGCCTCCCTCCCTCCCTTCTTCCTTCCTTCCTTCCTTCATCTCTCCCTCTTCTTCCTTGCATCTTTCTTGCCTGCCTGCCTGCTTCCCTCCCTTCCTTCCTTCCTCCCTCACTTCTTCGTTCCTCCCTCCCTCCCTCCCTCTCTTCTTCCTTGCATCTTTCTTTCCTTCCTGCCTGCCTCCCTCCCTCCCTTCTTCCTTCCTTCCTTCCTTCCTCCCTTCTTCCTTCCTTCCTTCCTTCCTTCCTTCAAGCCATGGTGGGGCAGTGGTTAGAATGCAGTATTGCAGGCTGACTCTTCCCACTGCCAGGAGTTCGATCCTGACCAGCTCAAGGGCGGCTCAGCCTTCCGAGGTCGGTAAAATGAGGGCCTGGATTGTTGGGGATAATATTCTGACTCCATAAACCGCTTAGAGGCGGGACGTAAAGCACTGTGAAGCCGTATATAAGTCTGTTAGTGCTATTAGATGGCTATGTTCAGCACCCACCCAGAGTCACCTTCTGATGGTCCTCATCCCCTCAAGTTCCAGGAAGAAGAAGACCAGGGGAGCATTCCGAAATAAAATTAGCTAGGGGAAACCCGGTGACTCTCTTGGGCTCCCCTTGGTTTCATTTTTTTTAAAAACGTTTTATTGATTTCATTTTGCTGCTGTTGCTGTTGTGAATGTGCTGTTTATTGCAGGGTGTGGTGGGGCTGGGCTAATCCCTGATCCGGAGGAGGAAACATCCAGGCTAGCTTTGATCTGCCTTCACGGTTGACTTGACATTCAACTAGGAAGATCTTCCCCGCTGGGCTTTCCCTTCTCGGGCTGCTGTGTATTTCATGTTTAAGTCTCCGGCTGGCCCTAATAGGAGTAGAAGGAACAAAGAGTAGAAGATCCCCTTAGAAAGGTTTTGTGTCAGGAGTGCCTACACTACTCTTGGCAACTTTAAGGCTTGTGGACTTCAACTCCCAGAATTCCTCAGTCAGCCTCCATTTTGTTTGTTAGATTTAGGACAGAGGTCTTCAAACTTGGCCCTTTTATGACTTGTGGATTTCAACTCCCAGAATTCCTCAGCCAGCCTCCATTTTGTTTGTTAGATTTAGGACAGAAGTCTTTAAACTTGGCCCTTTTATGACTTGTGGACTTCAACTCCCAAAATCCCTCAGCCAGCCTCCATTTTGTATGTTAGATTTAAGACAGGGGTCTTCAAACTTGGCCCTTTGATGACTCGTGGACTTCAACTCCCAGAATTCCTCAGCCAGCCTCCATTTTGTTTGTTAGATTTAAGACAGGGGTCTTCAAACTTGGCCCTTTTATGACTTGGGGACTTCAACTCCCAGAATTCCTCAGCCAGCCTCCATTTTGTTTGTTAGATTTAAGACGGGCCTTCAAACTTGGCCCTTTTATGACTGGTGGACTTCAATTTCCAAAATCCCTCAGCCAACCTCCCTTTTGTATGTTAGATTTCAGGGGTCTTCAAACTTGGCCCTTTTATGACTCGTGGACTTCAGCTCCCAGAATTCCTCAGCCAGCATGCACGCTGGCTGAGGAATTCTGGGAGTTGAAGTCCACGAGTCATAAAAGGGCCAAGTTTGAAGACTCCTGGCCTACAGGGTACAGTCAGAAATTCAGATTGTCGGCCAGGACAGTCCAATTTAAGCCCCCCCCCCTGCTTCCATTGCACTATTGTGACCGCCACCCGCCATCTTGACTGTCATTGGCCACGCCCCATGGGCCCCCTCTGCTTTCCATTCACTAATTAACCTCCGAAGCATAAACAAATCGTCTTGGATTGCCAGGAGTAAGCAACACAGGCTTACAAAACACCAAGCTCTTGAGCAGGAATGGGCCAAGTTTGAAGACTCCTGGCCTACAGGGTACAGTCAGAAATTCAGATTGTCGGCCAGGACAGTCCAATTTAAGCCCCCCCCCCTGCTTCCATTGCACTATTGTGACCGCCACCCGCCATCTTGACTGTCATTGGCCACGCCCCATGGGCCCCCTCTGCTTTCCATTCACTAATTAACCTCCGAAGCATAAACAAATCGTCTTGGATTGCCAGGAGTAAGCAACACAGGCTTACAAAACACCAAGCTCTTGAGCAGGAATGGAGGAGGGCTGGAACAACACCACCACACACATTCCCCCCCCCCCCAAAAAAAACAGCCCACAATAAAAGGGAAACCCTCCCTAGGCAGAGCAGAAAGAGCTAGAGCAGGTGTTGGTTTTATTACCTTCCATCACTAACAAGCTTTGTTGGCATTGTGCAACAATTACACAGTAACCCAAATCGCCTTGATAGATGGCAGTTTACAGAAGAGTGAAATGTTTGATTGCACAGGTATCTGCTCCTTTTTTTAAGCAAGGGCAAGGCCGGGCTTGAGATGGACTCCAGTCTTTCCTTTTCTTAAAAAAAAAAAAATCTGTATCCCTCCAGGGGTTCCCTCGTATCCAGCTGTTGCCCTTGATGGCAGCGGAACGGGACAGCTCACCGCGGAACAATTTGACAATTCAGTTTAATGATTGAAAATCATTTTAAACATTTAATTTTTGTCGTTCACATTTCTTTTGGTCGCTCCTTCGGCATCCTTTCGTTAACAGCAAGAGCGCTTAGTCTTATTTATTTATTTATTTATGAGACTTATATACCGCTTTAAGTGCAAGCACTCTCTAAGCGGTGTACACCAGTAAGCAATGTATATATATATATATTTACATTGCCCCCAACAATCTGGGTCCTCATTTTACCTACCTCGGACGGATGGAAGGCTGAGTCAACCTTGAGCCGGTGAGATTTGAACCGCTGACCTGCTGAACACAGTCAGCTAAAGTGGCCTGCAGTACTGCACTCTAACTGCTGCGCCACCTCGGCTCATATACCGCTTTGTACTGCTTTACAGCCCTCTCTAAGCAGTCTACAGCAGGGACCCCTCCCCCCAATCTCTGGGCCATGGCCTATTCGCAAGCAGGCCACGTGAGTGATGGGCTGGCGCATTGTTGGGGAGAGGGCAATATGCGGACTCTGTAGATCAGCGGTCCCCAATCTTTGCGGCTTGGAGGGGGGGGTCAGAGGGCTGCGTGAGCATCTGCACACAGCTCAACTTGAAGACCCCTGTCTTAAATCTAACGTACAAAATGGAGGCTGGCTGAGGAATTCTGGGAGTTGAAGTCCACCAGTCATCAAAGGGCCAAGTTTGAAGACCTCTGTCTTAAATCTAACATACAAAATGGAGGCTGGCTGAGGAATTCTGGGAGTTGAAGTCCACCAGTCATCAAAGAGCCAAGTTTGAAGACCTCTGTCTTAAATCTAACATACAAAATGGAGGCTGGCTGAGGAATTCTGGGAGTTGAAGTCCACCAGTCATCAAAGGGCCAAGTTTGAAGACCCCTGTCTTAAATCTAACAAATAAAAAGGAGGCTGGCTGAGGAGTTCTGGGCGTTAAAGTCCACAAGTCATCAAAGGGCCAAGTTTGAAGACCCCTGTCTTGGACCCTCTCCCCACCCTACAATTCCTCTAGCCCGCAAAAATCACAAGAGAGAGCATCCACACTGGGAGGGAAAGCCGGCCGCGTCCTTTCGCTCGCAGCGCGAGGTTTAAAACAGAAGCCTATTTGAGACTCCCCCTCTCTCTTTTTTTTTTGCACTGGGACCCTCTTTATGCAAAAAGCCATCAAAAACTTAACAAGCATGCTGGTTGGACGCTTTCCCTGCCCTTAACGGGTTAGCTGCCTTCAGGCACCCTCAGGGTCCAAGCAGAAAGAGAGTCGTGGTGTGTACTACACACTTGACAGACGGCCATGGTGGGGGGAGGGCTAATGGGTTCCAGGAAGTATTTGCTGCTTCTGCAAGGGAGGGACTCCCATCCTCCTTCGCTCGTTAGTTTTGCCTGTCACTCATAAACTGCTCTGTTTCCTTCCTTTGTGTTGCAGGGATAATTCCAGCTTCCGGAATACCAAGATCACTTTGTGAGCAGGAGGCGAGGATTCAACACCAACCAGCTCCTCCGGGGTCCAGCCTGGTAAAGGGGGCGGGCGCCTCCCTCGGTGCCCTCTAGGCCAAGCTGGCAGGACAGCCTGGACCCTTGACCCTTCAAGACAGCCTTTACACCCGTGTCAAAGACTGACCTTCGGCAACCAAGGGACCTGCCAGGCCAAGCAGCGGGGAAAACGCCCTTGGCGTTCCTCGGGACCTCAGCTCCTCTTGCGAAGGGCCCACGTCTGCCCAGAGGCTTTCCAGTATTATGAGGGTCTCCGCGGCGGCAGAGGCCATCGGAGAATTGGCACCCCTTCCTTCTGCCAATAAACAATTAGGCTCCTAGTTGCTCCCCCTCCTCCTCCTCCTCCTCCTTGCGTCTCGTTTTCAATGAGGGTGCGGGAATCTGGTTTCGACAGACGGCCGAGCTCAGCTCGGAAGCCCCCGCTCGAATTTGCAGCAGGTCAGACAGGCGAATGCAAATGGGGGAGCAGGCTGCCTTAACGCGGAATTAATGGTCAAGAGCCCGGGTGGCGCAGTGGTTAGAATGCAGTATTGCAGGCTAATTCACTGCCCACTGCCAGGAGTTCGATCTTGACCGGCTCAAGGTTGACTCAGCCTTGCGTCCTTCCGGGGTCAGTAAAATGAGGAGCCAGATTGTCAGGGGGGGGGGAGGGCAATGTGCTAACACTGTAAACCACTGTGTATATAAGTCTAAGTGCTATTGCTATTTTTCCTCCCTCCCTCCCTTTTTGCATCCTTCCTCCCTCTGTCCTTCCTTCCTCTCTCCTCCTTCTTGCCTCCTCCCTCTCTCCCTCCCCTTCTTGCATCCTTCCTTCCTTCCTTCCTTCCTTCCTTCCTTCCTTCCAATGTAGCATTGCAGGCTAATTCACTGCCCACAGTCAGCAGTTTGATTCTCATAAGCTTAAGGTTGACTCAGTCTTCCATCTTTCTGAGGTCGGTAAACTGAGGACCCAGATAGTAGGGGGGCCAATGTGCTAACACTGTAAACCATTGTGAAGTAGCATATAAGTCTAAGTGCTATTGCTATTCTTCCTCCCTCCCTCTCTCCTTCCTTACTCTCTCCTTCCTCTCTTCCTCCTCCTTCCTTCCTTCCAATGTAGCATTGCAGGCTAATTCACTGCTCACAGTCAGCAATTTGATTCTCACCGGCTCAAGGTTGACTCAGTCTTCCATCCTTCTGAGGTCGATAAACTGAGGACCCAGATTGTCGGGGGGCCAATGTGCTAACACTGTAAACCATTGTGAAGTAGCATATAAGTCTAAATGCTATTGTTATTCTCCCTCCCTCCCTTCTTTCATCCTTCCTCTCTCCTTCCTTCCCTCCTTTCCTTCCTTCCTTCCTTCCTTCCTTCCTTCGTGACAAAGTGATTAGAATGCAGTATTGCAGGCTAATTCACTGCCCACTGCCAGCAGTTCAATCCTGACCGGCTCATGGTCGACTCAGCCTTCCATCCTTTCGAGGTGGGTAAAAGGAGGACCCAGATTGTTGGGGGCAAGAGGCTGACTCTGTAAACCGCTTAGAGAGGGCTGTAAAAGCACTGTGAAAAAAGAAAGAGAAAGGAAGTGTTGAAGCAAAAGTCTTCATCGTGGTTCAGTCCAAGCCGGGAGTAAACAACATGGCGACTGCTTTAGAAAGAAGGTTGAAGTCTTCATCGGAAGGAACTCATCTCTTCAATACAAGCAATCAAATTAAAAGCAAAACGGAGTCACGTACCCAGTGCTGAAATAAAGTGGCAGAAAATCTCAGGCAAACAGCTTTGATTAAACAAGCCCGTTGCCAGGTGCTCTTGGGATCAAAAGACCATCATCCACTTATCCTCCCCGAGACTTTTATCTCTGCTTGAACAGCGGCTCCCTCTTTCTCATGAAATCTATCACGAGCCAAGAGCAGCCGAGTACAGTAATGAGCGAGGGAGAGGAAAACTGGGGGTTTTCATCTTTTTTTTTTTTTTTTGATACAAAGATCCTGGTCGCTTTGAGACACCATCCTGGGCTGTGCAAGCATCACTCAGTTTGGGACTAAAGTGACACTTGGATCAGCCCTGGATTGCTTTAGCGTCCCTTGATTGGGGCTCTAAGGCCAGTGTTTCTCAACCTTGACAATTTTAAGGCATGTGGACTTCAACTCCCAGAATTCCACATGCCTTAAAATTGTCAACAACTCCCAGAATTCCACATGCCTTAAAATTGTCAAGGTTGAGAAACACTGCAAGTTAAGCCAAGGGTCCTCAACCGTGGCAACTTTAAGACTTGTGGACTTCAACTCCCAGAATTCCTCAGCCAGCTTTAAGTCCACAAGTCTTAAAGTTGCCAAGGTTGAGGACTCCTCAAAGCTGGCTGAGGAATTCTGGGAGTTGAAGTCCACAAGTCTTAAAGTTGCCAAGGTTGAAGACTCATCAAAGCTGGCTGAGGAATTCTGGGAATTGAAGTCCAGAAGTCTTAAAGTTGCCAAGGTTGAGGACCCCTGGTGTAGGGTCTTCTGCTTGTGGACTTCAACTCCCAGAATTCCTCAGCCAGCTTTGCTGGGAGTTGAAGTCCACAAGTCTTTAAAGTTGCCAAGGTTGAGGATCCCTCAAAGCTGGCTGAGGAATTCTGGGAATTGAAGTCCACAAGTCTTAAAGTTGCCAAGGTTGAAGACTCCTCAAAGCTGGCTGAGGAATTCTGGGAATTGAAGTCCAGAAGTCTTAAAGTTGCCAAGGTTGAGAACCCCTGGTGTAGGGTCTTCTGCTTGTGGACTTCAACTCCCAGAATTCCTCAGCCAGCTTTGCTGGGAGTTGAAGTCCACAAGTCTTTAAAGTTGCCAAGGTTGAGGATCCCTCAAAGCTGGCTGAGGAATTCTGGGAGTTGAAGTCCACAAGTCTTAAAGTTGCCAAGGTTGAAGACCCCTGGTGTAGGGTCTTCGGCTTGTGGACTTCAACTCCCAGAATTCCTCAGTCAGCAAAGTCTAAGCAACTGAATGTATTCAACATCAGGCCCATGAACCCATACAAGGAGAACACTAAGCAAGTGTCACTTCTGTACAGGAAGTCCTCGACATGATCACAATGGAGCCCAAAGGTTCCATTGCTCAGCAAGATAATTGTTAAGTGAGATTTGTCCCACTTTACGACCTTTCCTGCCCCAGTTGTAAAGCCAGGAATAGGGTTGTGAAGTGAGTCTGGCTTTGCTTGTCAGAAGGTCGCAAAAGGGGATCACGCGACTCCCCCCCCCCCAGACACTGCAACTGTCATAACTACCTGCCAGTTGCCAAACCTCCAAAGTTTGATCATGTGACCCTGGGGACGCTGCAACCGTCGTTAAGTGTGAAAAATGGGCATAAGTCACTTTTTCCAATGCCATTGTAACTTTGAATGGTCACCAAATGAATAGAACAGAACAGAACGGAATAGTATCGACAGAGTTGGAAGAGACCTTGGAGGTCATCTAGTCCAACCCCCTGCTCAGGCAGGAAACCCTATACCCATTTCAGACAAATGGTGGTCTAATTTCTTCTTAAAAACTTAAAAAACTGTTGGAGCAGCCCACAACTTCTGGAGGCAAGTTGTTCCACTGATTAATTGTTCTAACTCTCAGGAAATTAACAAGAATGAACCACGGCAATCATTTAACCATCGGAACGATTAACCATCGGAACGCCTCGCCTCCAGACGTTGTGGGTGCTCCAACACTGGGGGTGGTTTAAGAAGTGGACAGCCATTTGTCTGCAATGTTATATAGGGTAGGGGTCTTCCAACGGGGCGCTTTTAGGACTGGTGGGCTTCAACTCCCAGAATTCCTCAGCCAGGCACGCGTGCCTGGCTGAGGAATTCTGGGAGTTGAAATCCACCAGTCCTCAAAGGGCCAAGTTTGAAGACCCGTCTTAAATCTAACAAACAAAATGGAGCCTGGCTGAGGAATTCTGGGAGCTGAAGTCCACCAGTCCTAAAAGGGCCCCGTTGGAAGACCCCCGGTATAGGCTTTCCTGCCTGTGCAGGGGGTTGGACTAGAAGACCTCCGAGGTCCCTTTCCACCTCTGCCATTTAATATTCCGCAACAGCCTCCCGGCACCCTTAGCTGCACCCCTCGCCCCATCCGGAGGCAGTCGGTGCTTCTCTATTTTATTCTATTTGATCTTTTTTTTCTTCTGCGCCACTGCAGCAGTCGGACATTTATTATTCGGCTAAACAGCCGACCCCCTGCTGTCTCCGATATTGGTTCTGGTGCGATTTTTGCGCTCCGCTTCTAATAGCGCTCGGCTGCTGTTAAGCCGCCCGAATGCCCGTGTAAAAAAGCGGCTTGCCGCTGCCGGCTGTGCTCTCCTGCCCCGCCCCGTTGCATTAATTGTTTTTGCAAATGACGGCACTTAAAGGCTTGAGTTGCCGAGCTCCTGAGCCCAGCTGCGCCCAGAACAAGTTTTCGCCCCGGCTTCCTTGGCTCCCGCACCGCTCAGCCTCCGAGCTCCGTCCCCAAAACTCAAGACTGCAAAATAATAATAATAATAATGATATCTGCAAAAAATATCATTTGCCTGTAAGGAAAAACTGGTGGGATCATAAAATAGAGAAAGTCATAGAAAATGATAAAATTAAACTGCTCTGGGACTTCAGAATTCAAACAGACAAGCACCTGCAACGTAACACCCCAGACTTAACAATTGTCGATAAGAAAGACAAAAAAGTCTGCATAGTGGACGTGGCAGTGCCTGGAGACAGCAGAATAGACGAGAAAGAACTGGAGAAGATAACAAAATACAAAGACCTACAAATAGAAATAGAAAGACTGTGGCAAAGGCAAGCAAGGGTAGTACCAATAGTCATAGGCGCCTTGGGCGCAATCCCAAAACAACTGGAGCACCACTTGAACACCATTGACATTGACAAATTCGCTATTAATCAATTGCAAAAGGCGGCCTTACTAGGAACTGCTTCCATCCTGCGACGATACCTGTAACACCATCAAACATCCACATCTGCCTATCCCAGGTCCTGGGTAAGGACTGAATAGGTAGACAAAATGCCAAATCCAGTCTGAACATCTGGCTGACTGTGCGATGATTGATAATAATAATAATAATAATAATAATAATAATAATAATAATAATGCCTCTTCTGCAGAGCCTGGGAAGGAAGGGGGAGGATCTTATAATAATAATAAAGTTGGAAGGGACCTTGGAGGTCATCTGTCCGTCTCCCTTCGCTCCTGGGTCTCCAGTGCTCGTCGGAGTCCCTTACAGACTTCAGGTCGGCTGCATTTTAATTTCCCCCCTTTAAAATAAAAAAGCGGATGAAAAATGATTTTCAAATCTGGTGTTGAAGGGGGGCGGAGTCCCTTGGGGCTGTCTG